TAGAAAATAGCTTTGAATACGCACTCTACGCAGTTTTTACTCCTCACATGACCCCATGTTTACTATTCTCACTGGAGAGGTGAGAAACTAAAGCCTGGAAAGGTGGAGTGTCACACCATGGAACACCCAGTGAAATGAAGAGCCAGGACTTGAGGAGCCCAGGGAGGCTGGCTCCAGCCTCCACTCCGTGAGGCTGCCTCTTGAGGCAGAATGTGGAACAGCACCAAGAGCAACCCACTCCTTCCCCAAAAGCCCGCCACTGAGACAGAGATGGTGGCATGCAAGGGGCAGGTTGGGAAGTGATTTCTACTCCGCGAGTCATTATGAGAATGTCACGAGAGCCCCTGTGATTCTGCCACTGCTTCGCCCATGAGTCATTCCTTCCTGCACCAGGCGCCCCCAGAGCATCCTGGCAAGCCTGGTGATGGCACAGGCCACACAGGTGTCTCCGAGACTAGGTCCCCTGTCCTTTCAGGAGGTGGGAAGCCCATGAGGTCAGGGGTCATGGCTTTCCTGGGCTCCCCTAACCTCTCAGCATGAGGATCACAAGATTTCTGTCGAAGGAATGGATGAGCGGATGCAAAAACCAAGGAAATGCTTCCACAGAAACCCAAGACAAAAAAAACTCCTTCAAGAAAAATACCTACAGGTGATGACGCATATCCCAAATTCTAATCTTATATGTTCACTTTATGAAAACAGTGCGACGTTAGCAGTTTCTGAATTAGTGTTCTCCTACTCTGTTTCCCAGGCAAGAAACACGATCTGCTCTGCATTAGAATTACAGCAAGACTCGTCCCTGAGCAGCACCCATATGATTGTAATGCACAGACGAATTTCAGTGAGACACCATCTAACCATGCTGATGTGCTTTTCCATGTAACCCTAAATTACAGTCTTTTCAAGTAACTGTGATTCCCCCATCTGCTTCCCTCTCTTCAATTTTGGTTTGGTTTTGTGAAAGGTCTGCTGGTAAAAATGAGGCAATACCAGTAACTTATCTACAAATTACGGGAAGGAGAAAGTAGGTTAAAAAAGACCAAGAAACTTAAAACAAGTTTGATCAAACCACATCCGAGTTGGGCAGGAAACAATAGGAGACTGTTCTTGCTCAAAGGAAGGAAGGTAAATCTCACCAGGACGACTATCAAGCAAGTCACAGGTGGGATCCACCGTGTGCTCTTCCTGAATGTTAACTGTTGTCATTAGATTACAACCACCTTCGATCTTGCACTGGGGAAAGGCAGTGACCAGCAGTGGGCAGCCAACACTCACAGGTGACTGGCGATCCCTCCACACAGGAGTCTCAATTCCAGTTCAGGCATTCACCACAACCAGCAGCTGTGTCCCAAAGGCAGTTTGTGTGTCTTTCACAACAGAGGTGGGACCTTCATCCCAAAAAGAGGCCACAGGGAGAAAAAACAGGTCTCCTCACACTCCCCCACTAAACGGTTCAACTAACGATGTATCCTAAGCTGAGAGGTTGCCAGTGACCTTCTGCAATTTGCTTCCATTCAAAATGCAAATTCCATGTATCAATGTCTGTATCCTACTTGTGATACTATACTAAAGTTTTGCAAGATGCTGCCCTTGGAGGAAACTGGGGGAAATCTCTTTGTATTATTCTTACTTATAATTATCTCAGTAAAAAATTTCAATTAAAAAAACTACGTATTGATGGATGAATAGATAAAGAATACGTGGTCTATACATACAATGGAATCATTTAGCCTTAACAAAGGAGCAAATTCCAACACATGCCACAACATGGAATAACCTTGAGAATATTATGCTAAGTGAAATGAGTCAGTGACAGAAAGGTAAATTCTGTATAATTCCACTCCTGTGAGGTACCTAAAACTGTAAAACTCTGAGGGTAGATGGTGCATGCAGGAGGTAGGGTTGGGGAGGGAGTGAGGAGCTGTGTTCAAGGAATATAAAGTGTCAGTTGTGCAGGTGGCTCTGTGGTACAATGGAGAGCACACTAGACTTCTAAAGTTTCCGTCATACAAGATGAATGAGTTCTAGAAATCTGCAGAACAGCATGGTGCTTATAGCCAACAACAATGTTGATGATACATGTAAAAATCCCTTAAGAGGGTAGATCTCATGTTAGTGTTCTTACCACATTTTTAAAACCCTGCAAACCCAGAGCCCCAACAATCTCTGGGTTCACCTCTTAAGAAACTAAGTCTAGCTCCAGCACTGCAATGAGTGCCTACAGGAAGACAGTCTCTGATGAAGGCACTACAGCTACCTTGGGGTCTGGAAATCACGTGACAGAGCCCAGAGGGATCCAGTGTCCTTCAAATTGTTATTAACGTAAATGCAGTGTCAGTCAGCAACAGGCTAGGTGGGGACCAGGCAAATGTCATGGTAACCACATGCTTGTGAGGCTGGGCAGCCTCTGCGAAGTTTCCTGGAGAAACGTGTACAACGGGGGCCAGATCTTTTTGGCTATTCAATAGATTCCAGAAATCCACAATTTTCTCCCTAGATTGTAATAGTGGCAATTCATAAAATTTTCTTTAAAACACTGTGCAGACCAGACCAAACAGGCGTGAGGGTCAGTGTGCAAGCTGCCAGGCACCCAATGAGCACTTTAAACACATGTTCTCCCATTCTCCCATCGGCCCTCCACAGCTGGGCTTGTTTGCCTCAATTTCTTTCTTTTGGATCAAGGTCTCACTGCCACCCAGGCTGGAGTGCAGAAGCATGATCATGGCTCACTGCAGCCTCAGCCTCCTGTGCTCAGGCGACTCTCCCACCTCAGACTCCCAAGTATCTTGGGACTACAGGCACACACCACCATACAAAGCTACATTTTTTTTTTTTTTTTTGAGTTGGAGTCTCACTCTGTTGCCCAAACTGGAGGGCAGTGGCCGCTCCCAGTCACCGCAGCCTCGACCTGCTGGGCTCTGGCGATCCTTCCGTCTCACCCTTCCGAGTAGCCAGAATTACAGGCATGTGCTACCATGCCCGGCTGATTTTTTTATTTATTGTAGAGATGAGGTCTTGCTGCCCAGGCGGGTCTCGAACCCACGGGCTCAGGCAATCCACTCACCTCAGCCTCCCAAAGGCGTGGGATTACAGGCTAAGCCACCGAGCCCGGCTCAAAGCTACTTTTTAAAAAATTTTTGTGGAAATGAGGTCTACGTTGCCCAGGCGGGCCTCAAACCCCTGGGCTCAAGCAATCCTCTTGCCTCAGCCTCCCTAAGCGGTGGAATGCCAGGCCTAGCCCCTCTGTTTTCTAAACGGGTCCAAGGTCATCCAGCTGACAGGGTATTCACAGCTCAGATTGGAGGCCCGCTGGTTCTGCTGACTCAGCATTCTTTACACACACATCCATCTAGCAAAAGCTGGTTTACAAAAGCTGCAAAGAAATAGCTCCTGCCCATACACACTGAGTCAGCTATGCATTTTCCAGACCATGTGTTGCCTTGGGAAAGACCACTAGGAGAATCTTTCTGTTTGACATATCATCCATTACCTCCAGGTTAAATCCTCTTCCCTTTAGAGTACTACATGACTTGGGACAGTACATGTATTAGCATGTTTGATCCATGTCTGTCTCTCTACCGTCTCTCCAAGCTCCCATGTGACAGCGACTATTTGTGATTCTGTATATTCCCAGAACTAGCAAGATGTACAGCCCAAAGAAGGGGCTTGATGAACATTGTTGAATAAATCAAGAAAGGGATCAGCCAGACAGGCGCCGTGGAAAGGTCCCATTCAATTCCACTGCACTATGCCACCACCACCAAGGACACAAAGGACACAAAGTTTCTGGAAAGCTTTTCAGAGGCTCCCTTGAAGAGCAAAAGAAGGCCTGGCCAGACCACCACACACCAAGAACACCAGAAGGGCAGGGGTCCCTTGTGATTGTACTCGGTACAGTGGCGGCCTTTCCTCCACAGGGTCATACTCCACCCACTCAACCAGGTGTGGCAGCAGCTCTGCCCTAGGGTGAGCCTGCCCTTTCACCAGCGTGGCTACTGCCTGGGCTCCTGGCTGCAGAGACAGAACCCTTATGAAAAAGTCTTTGTATGAAGCACGCTAGCTTGCCTCAGACACGTGTGCCAAGCCCAGGCTGCAGCCAACACAAAGACAGAAGCGATGCTGGCCATGAGGAGCTTAGATGGGCAAGGTCTTTCCCAGGAGGGAATCAGGCACAAGGGTCTTGGGCTGCAGGTGTGGTGAGGGCACAGGCACAGAAGCAGAAACACAGGGCATGCAGAGGAAAGTGAGTTGGACTGGGACTGAGGCAGCTGGAGTTCAGGGCCTATGAGCAGGATTGAAGGAGGGAGGGCAGAAAGACACAGGGGACAAGCTGGGATAGCCTCATGAGACTTCACAGCACTGGCTGTCGGGTATTTTCCTTCCGCAGAGTACAAAAAATCCACTCCAAGGGTCCTCAGACCACAAGTCCAAGAGTTGGCGATCAACTAAAACTAGAGAGACTGTACAAAAAAACGCAGATCTAGCTTCTCTGAAAAGATGAGAAAACCTGGCAACACTGCTTCCATATTCCTGCAGAATAGCTACAGCCTAGGCTGGAACAGCAGCTGCTTACAAAGGAGGCATATGCTCCCCAATCTGCCACAGTCCCCTCCGCTCCCTACTGCCCTCACCGGGGGCCGGCATCATTCATAGAAGTTCAGTGATCAAACTCTGTAAACATTAGTACCATAGATGAGGCATTCTCCCATTCTGTCCCAATAACAGTGTCTCCCTGATATGTAATCTGAGGCCCAGAGCGGCACAATTCCATGTTTAATAACTTGCAATCGATTTGAACCACTATTAGTACCTGACCCCAGATTTTCCTGGGGATGTATTTCAAGACTTGGATTAGGGTCCTTGAATCATAGACCAGTTTACACATCATCACTGTTGTATAGGCAGAATGTTAGTTTCTGATTTTAGAGAAACACAGATTCGTAAAACGAGCAATGATTTCTTATCAAGGTCAAAAACCAGCCCCAAAGCTAATGACTTACAGAACTCCGCTGAACATCCTGTTCAGTCTTAGCATACATCTCAGACAGATCACCATTCAGAATGACTTCAGCTAGCGAGTTCACCAGTGGTGCATGATGTATAATTAAGAAGACCTGGTGGAAAAGAAGAAACGGGATTTGCATGAAAGCGTGCACTCTTTCAACCTCTTTCTTCCCCACCTGAAACAGCCAGGCTGAGCTACATAAGTCCTGCACTGAGTAGCAACTCCTACAATGCAAAATCCAAAGAATGGGTCACATTTAACAGAAACCAGCCAGTGTTCGTCGAGGGTGGCCTCTCCTTCAGACTATTGTCTATTTGGCCGGCTGTTCTTCCTCGGAAGGAAGTGTATTAATGAGAGACTGTCCCTCATGGCTGACTGAAGCCAAATCCAGCTAAAGGGCATGGGGAGGAACAGCCAAACCAACACACTCCTTCCGTCCACAGCATTTCAGTGTCCAATTCCATCATGGTAAGACTAGAAGGCACCGTCTCAAAACTGCAGCTATACAGGAAGAAGGGGCTGGGGAGTTCTGTTCCAATTAAGGACTTGGCAAAGGGCTGCTACACGGAGATTCCATTAAGGGAAAGAGCTGAGCCCTGCAGTGGGTTTTAGTCACTGGAATTCCACGGCAGCACTGGCAGATGTGGAAACTGGGAAAGAAAAGCCACACGAGCCAGAGGTAGCCCCAGCTAGGCCAGGGTGCAAGACAAGAAGGCCCTGGGCTGTCTCAGCTGGTCCTGCCACCCTGCCCTGTTACCTAACGCTCGAGGAAGGCTTTAGGGGCCAGGGCATTGAAGATTGCCTTGCAAAGCTGGCGTAGACACACCTGCTGGTTTTGTTTTGCTTTGGTTTTGAGTTGGAGTCTCACTCTGCCTCCTAGGCTGGGGTGCAGTGGCACGCTCTCAACCTTGACCTGCTGGGCTCTGGCGATCCTTCCGCCTCAGCCTTCCAAGTAGCTGGAACTATAGGCATGCGCTACCATGCCTGGCTTATTTTTTTTTTATTTATTGTAGAAACAAAGTCTCACTAAGTTGCCCAGGCTGGTCTTGAATTCCTGAGCTCAGGCAATCCTCTCGCCCAGGCCTCCGCTGTTTGGTTTTAAAATGTAAAGGCAACAGGGAGTGGCACGGTGTATGCTGTATATACCATTTGGTTATAAAAAGAGTGTGCACATTAGTATCTTGCTGATTTCTACATGCACAGGCCAGGGTTTCTCAGTCTTGGCATGACTGATACCATGGGCTGTCACTCAGTGCTGTGGCGCTGTGCTGGACACAAGCTGTTCAGCACCGCCCCTGACCTCTACCCACTAGATGCCAGGAGCACCCCTTCCTCAGTCACGAACTGAGCACATCTCCAACTATTGCCACATATCCCCTGGGGAGCAAAGTTATCCTCAGTTGAGAACCCCTGGCAGAGAATGTCTCTGGAAGGCCAAGCGAGAACCCTGCAAGTACAGTTGTTTCTGGAGACAGAAATCAGGAGCCTCAACAAAACCAGAAAAGTCTGTACCTGCTTAAACTTTTTAACTGTAAAGAACTTTTTGATTTAAAAAAATTGTTAATAAAAGAAAGTGAAAGCAGAAACTAACACAAGCTGCATCTGGGGAACAAGACTAGGTGTCCAGGGGACAGGGTAACAGGGAGACTTCTATGTCATGTTTTATACTGGTGGAACAGGGGGACTATATTATCCAAACAAATACAATTCAAATTAAGTAAAAGATACAGGCAAAATAGCCAAAAGTGGCACCTACCTTTAAAAAAAGGTGCATCTGTTTTTAAAATACCAGGGAAACCTTTGCTGTGATAGACCCCACACAGCATAATCCACTCAAATGTCAGGGATGCTGACGATGATTTTTCTCACCTTCTTCACAGCCAAATTACTGTCACTCAACCACAAAAAAAGAATCCAGCCACTAAGTTCATTCATTCCACAAATATCATGCACCGTGTATGAATGTGGCCATAACTGATCATCAACACGTTTCTTTTATTCAGTCTACACACATTTAGTGATCCCCTTCTAAGGCTCCCTAGGACAAAGACCAACCAATTCCTGCCTGTGGATATACGCAAAGCTCATTTTCCTGGCTCTGACTAAGAGTCAGCGCAACGTATGTGTAAGTGCGTGCAGGCCATACTAAAGGGCTAGGTCAGTCTGCCAACCACACTCTGTGGTGGAGTGGCAGTTGAGTTTTAGGGGACAGCAACACCCGTCACACTAAATTAGTTGTTGTCAATGTGGTTCTCTAGCTGTGTTTGTAAATTAACTTGTAAGTATGCACTGATTTTATAGTGATGAAGGGTTTTGAGGACAAATTTTGGGCTTTCCCACATGTTGGCCACATTTTAATTAAGTTAAATGAAAAAGCAGGGGAGGAAGGGTTCAAGATTTTTAATCCTGAAAGGGGCTGGGTGCAGTGGCTCATGCCTGTAATCCCAGCACTTTGAGAGGCTGAAGTGGGAAAGTGGGAGGACTGCTTGAGCCCAGGAGTTCGAGACCAGCCTGGGCAACATAGTGAGATCCCGTCTCTCCAAAAAAACAAAAAATCAGCCAGGCGTGGTGGTACATGCCCATAGTCCCAGCTGCTTGGGAGGTCCAGGTAGAAGGATTCCCTAAGCCTAGGAGGTTGAGGCTGCAGTGAGTCATGATCTTGCTACTGCATTCCAGCTTGGGCAACAGAGTGACCAATTCAAAAAAAAAGGAATCTATTAGTCAAGTTTGAGGACCACTGAATTACAGAACATGTTTTCTGTGAGATACTGAAACAAGTTACTGGATGCATGGGCTACTGGCTCTTCACGAAGAAAATGAGAGAGTTCTCAGAGAAAAGGTATAACTCCTCTGCACTCAAGTACCAGCTAGGAGGTTGGTAGCCCCACTCCCCAGAGGCAGCCCTGCCCAGTGAAGCTCCAACAGCTGGAGGTCCTGAGGACGCTTTCCACATGACTCCTGCAGCTGAGAACTGGCCCACTGGGATCCTGCCAGAATCTCAGAATCCCAAGCAGGAGATGCTGGCAGACTCATAACAAGGCAGCAGAAGAAACTGCCAGGAGAGGCTGGGGTGTGTGGAGCTTGGTCGCACACAGCAGCATTCAGACAGAGTGGGCACTGCACAGTGCTCTAAGCAAACAGAGCCCAGTATAAGACTCTGGGATGGGAGCCTGGGCAGGCCACATCCGGATCAACAGGGGGAGGAGGCAGCAGCCCGAGACCTTCTTCTCAGGCCAACAGGACACAGCCTTGCCCAAACTTGAAACAGCTGGAGGTCAGTTGGGGGGGCGGGGACAGTCACTCATCAAAGCAAGCAAATACCTGTGTCTCTGATGAAGTGGGAACAGAGCTCTGGTCAAGCGTTTGACTACTTGACAGTCTGATGAGACGGTCTGCTTATAATAAAATATTTGTAATAAAAATATTTGTAAAGTTATGTAACTGGGTCACCATGGAGTTTTTCCCTTCTTGTAAATATTACATAATTTCACGAAGGACAACACTTGTTTAAGGAGGAGGACAGACAAACTGGTGCAAGACACAGATTTGGGAGCTGGGGCTGCTACAAGGTACCTTCCAGAAGGTAATCTGGGAACCAGAACCACGACAAAGCCCTTTAAAAATAGCCTTTTACAGGAAGTTTGTCAAACTAAGGTTGCTGCGTGCACACACATCATGGATCCTGCAGTCTGGGGCTTATTTCAAACCACCATGAATAAGAGCCACGCAGTCCACATTTCCAGGGCATTGAAGGGCCTCCTTGGTTGTTTTGGAAACCTTGGTCCTCATGGTAAAAAGCAACTACACAAGCGCAAGAGTTTCATTTATTTTCCATTTCTCTTTAAATTTCCATCCCCTACCATGAAGAAGATACATACCACTTCTGTTCGGTGTCTAGGAAATAGAACTCCCCTCTTTTTCTTTTTTTATTTTGAGCCGGAGTCTCACTGTCACCCAGGCTGGAGTGCAGTGGCACCATCACAGCTCACCATAGCCTTGACCTCCTGAGCTCAGGTGATCCTTACACCTCAGACTCCCAAGTAGCTGGGATTATAGGTGCCACCACATCTGGTGAATTTTTAAATTTTTTTTTAAAGATGAGGCTTCTCTATGTTGCCTAGGCTGGTATCAAACTCTTGGGTTCAAGCGATCCTCCTGCCTCAACTTCCCAAAGTGCTGGGATTACAGGCAGAAGGCACCAAGCCCAGCCTCATCTTTCTCTTTTATTGTTATTTTATTTTAAGCTGAGGGACACACAGAGAGACGATGGGGCAATGAAACCTGGGAACTTTCGGAAAGGGAACAGCACTCCAAGGGACCCTAAGAGTGGTGGGGACACAAGCAAACGGTCAAACATACCTGCGACAGAAGGTAAAGTGACACCGGCAAGCTGATTTTCGGTCGCTCTCCCTAGAAGGGGAAGGAGAGAGAGGTCCTAGTCACACAAGGGAGCACCATGAATGCACAATGCCAAAAGCCCTCTGTCTCAATAGAGGTATCCTATCCTGCCATCTCGCTCCACAGCCCCAGGTCATCTTGTCTGGTGCTGGTCAAGAGTCTGCTTTGCGAAACACATTCCCAGCCTAATTCCATTCAGTGCCATTTTTCCCACCTAAGAAATCTCTCACCATTAGTCAGATTAGAGGCTGACCCAGGAGAAGAACGCACTCCTTCAGTTCCCAAGAACCCTCATCTCCCACTGGGCCCCAGGAACCCCAGCAGGAGGACTGGGAGGCCTGTTCTCAGGACAGCGTTTCCATGCAGCCTTCAGGGTGTCCTGAGCACCAAGGAGCTCCCTCTCACACCCACTCTGTGAGGAAGGGGGTTTTTTGCAGCCAAAGAAATGGCTCAGAGAGATTTAACGGCCCATCCATGGTACAGAGTTAGGACAGGAAAGAGGTAGAATTTGAGTGCAGGTCTGAAACTCTACTTTTCCTACTCTGTCTTTGCCACCCAGTGCCGCCTGGGATATAGCCAGCAAGGCTGCAATTTTAAAAATTTACTTATTTGTATTAAGAATCTCCATGTTCCTTCTCCCAAAAGAAAACTACACCACTCCAGGGTACCCCTGTAGAATGACCAGCTGGCTCTGTCTGCTGAGACCCCTGCTCTTTCTCAGGACTCCTCAGCCCTAGCAGGACAGCACAGAGGTCTGGCCTCCCAAAGCAGCCTCTCCATAGGGGATCCGAGAAGCAGCAGCCCAGTCACCTGAGGGCAGGTTAAATACCCCAATTCCCGATGCCACCCCAGACCCACTGCACCAGAAGCCCTGAGGGGAGGATGCCCAAGGACCTTCATGTAGCCACCCGCCATTCCCACAGGGGCCCTGGGACGAGTACCACCCCAGGTTGGTTCCCTAAGCATGCACTATGTTGTTCCTCCATCCTGTGCACATCTTGTCACTGTCTGCAGCTTCTCCAAATCAAGTGAATCAGCAAGTCTGGAAAAAAGTTACTGGGGAAGAGAACACCTCAGGGAAGTATGCACAGAAACCAAAAACCTAAATTCAGAGCGGTTTCTTGTTTCCTCCTGAGGCAGTCATCATTTCTCATTCACTTTTACAGTCCTCTCTCTCTCTCTCTCTCTCTCTCTCTCTCTCTCTCTCTCTCTCTCGCGTACACAAACACACACACACACACACACACACACACACACTCTGCCTCTCTCTGTCTCTCTCTCTCCCCCTCCCCCTGTCTTCTTTCTCTCTGTCAATGTCTCAGGACCTAGGAGGAAAGGCAAGGAAAGCCAGCATGCTTTGAAAGGAGTCTCCTTCAGACTCAAAGCTTCGGTCCTTGCAAAGCTCAGCCCCACTCAAGGCGACTGTCCCCGCTTCGGAGGGCGGCCTCAGCACGCAGGCACCATGGGTCAGGTCCCGCAGACCCACCTTGTTCTGGTTCTCCAGTGAGTACACGTAGAGGGGCAGGAAGAGCCTGTTGAGCAGGTGGTCTGTGAGCACATCGTTGAGGAACTCACAGTTGATGATCAGGATGTCATTGAGATAGTGCAGGTGGTCAAGGTGCTCTGCCACCAGGTCACTCAGCTTCCCCCGATTCCGGTGCCTGCCAGAGAAATGACCATCTCAGCCTGGAGGCCTCTGGGCCTGACACCAATGGCCTGAGACTTAGGTCACGGCGGGTTCATTCCTACAACCAAAACTTGAGCTAGTCTTGAGAGACACTGGCCTGGCCCTTTCTGGGGACATAAGCAAAGGGAAAATGGACAGGTCTGTGTAATCAATTTTAGGGGACAGCTGGGGTTCCCCTAATCTCCGGGGCCTCAGTACCACCACTCCCATTATCGCAGTCTCCCAAAAATGGGGTAAACAAAGCAAAAAGCAGCTAGGCTCTTGCAGTAAGCCATCGCACAAGGGTAGCCGCTCACCAGTGTGGCAAGATCCCGTCTCCCACATATGCAGTGTGAACAGAGCAATGAACCCTCGGGAATTAAATGCTCCAGAGGAGTTCTGAGAGTAACCAGGCCCTAGCAGCTATGCTGCCCCACTGGCCCTGATGCCAAGCAGGACCCAGCACAAGGATACAACAACCCTCCCCCAGGCCCTGCCCTGGTGGTCTCTATCTCTTTGCAGTCAGCAACAGGCATGCTGGGTGGGTCTCTAGGGCAGAGTCAGTTTCACTCCACCAGCTGGGGAGCACACTCTTACCACCTCAAAGCAGAATCTGTTGCAAAGAGCAACCTATCTGGGGTACGATATTGTGTTTGTACTGTGTAAATACAGTCACCACCTCCACTCATCACCCTGAGGACGAAAGCCCCATGGTCATCTTCTTTTCAATACAGGTTTATTGAAATATAATTCACATATCATAAAACGCACCCATTAAAAGCATACAGTTGAATGGCTATTAGTATATTCAGATGGCCCAACCATCACGGCAATCAATTCTAGAACATTTTTACCGCCCCCTCCCACTCATTAGTCATTGCTTCCCATTTCCCCCAACACCCTGGCCCTAGGACACTACTAATCTGGTCTAGACAGACTTGTCTATTCGGCTTCAAGTGAAGGAATCACAACATGTAGTCCTTGGTGCCTGGCTTCTCTCCCTCAGAACGTTTCTGAGGTTCACCCACGTCAGGCAAGCGCCCATGCTGAACACTATTCCATCGTCCGTGGATGTAGCACACTGTGACCACTCATTCATAGCTGACAGACTGTCTTCCTCCTGGCCCAGCTGCCAAGCAGTGCTGTCTATGGGTGTACTCAATGTTATTCCCCATCCCCCTCTGCAAGGCAGCTGAGCGGTTTCCAACTTTCTGCTGTTATAAACAGATAGGCAGAACCTCTTGCAATATGGAAGTACATGCTCTGCCTACACGTAGGTAAGGGCTGTTCTCGTGTTCATTTTTCCTTGACAAAAACTGAACTGTCCCCTAACTGCCCTGCCTCTCTACCGAGCAACCTTGGGATGGCACTTACTCCTCGTCAGTCTGCACACAGTTATCAAGCTCGATCACGTGGCTCCCAATGAACCAGACCAGGTTGGAGAAGTAAGGGACAGCAGTTTTGTCTCTGATATAGTGCAGCATGGCCTGGTTATCCACTGAGAAAATTCACAAAGGAAAAGGAAAAAAAAGTCAAGCTACCAAAAATAACTTGAGATTAAAAAAAACAAACAAACCAAAACCACAGTGAAAAAGTCCTCTGCTATAATCTGAAATTGTTTGTCTTTCCTGGAAATACTTGAAAATGTTTATCTTATTCATAAAACTAAACTCATCAAGGCAGCTCTTAAGCTATTTTTTAAATTAATGAGATAAACTAGTTGGGCTAACAGAATTCGTGCACTGAAGAGCCCACTATGAGCAGTGGGCTGAGCTAGACTGCAGTGAACATTACACCATTCTCAAGCAAGCTTCCTGCACTCACAAGTGCGGATAAGTTAAGAAAGCGGAAAACCAGAGGTTAATAACTTACATGACACTGGAATAAGGAACACAGGAATCGTCATTGGAGGAAAGGCAAAAAACAGACAACAGTTAACAGGGTTAGGAACCAGGAGGGAGAGACAGCTGCCGGGGGACGGAGAGCGAGGCATCTAAATCGAGAGATACAGGTTAGAGGGGAACAGGAGAAAACGGAGCAGGAGGCATGGGACCACCGCAGCTTGGGCCGGGCCACAAACTCAGAGCAGCCGCTGGGCTGGCTGGCAGCCCAGCATGGGACCTGGGGAGCACGGGCCTTGGCCCCAAAAAGGTCACGGCTTCTGCAGTCGGCTGACCCCTGCCCTGCGGGACAGCCACATCCACGCTTACAAGTCAGAAATCCAGACTGTCACGCGAAAGATTCCCATTGGTAAACAACTGGCAACTGTGTGTTTTTTCATAAACCACCTACGCAAACTAAAACACGTCTGATGGCTGGATTTGGTCCTCAGGTCCTCAGTTTGTGACCTCTGTTTGGGTCCATCTGGGCCCTCAGAGAGGCTCTTAAATGTAATGCAATCCCAGAGCGAGGCTCTCAGGAACATCTTGACTCATGAACGTCAAAGCCCTTTATTCCTGAGAAGACAATAGTCCCAGCTTTACTGTGGTAAAGACAGGGGAAATAACCCAGGCATTAAGCAGAGAATGTCCAGGGCATCACCTCGGAGGGGCAGTTCCAGTTAGAAACCTTGTAGCCGGCCAGCCTCTGTGCCAGTGCAGGCAGAGAGCAGGGCAGGGCTTTCTCCCCGGCAATTTTCTGTGCATTAAGTACATCTTGAAGGGGAAATCTGTTGGTCCTGGGCTTTGCAACCAGTTGGAAATACAATATTGCCCCCTGCTGTTCATGGTGCGACATGCTTTTTCTACCTTACGTAAAGATCAAATTACCCCCAGCTGTATTGAAGTTTACAAGCCAAAACACACTTAAACCTAACAATTAAAAGACAACTTAGCTTTATCAAATTCTCGTGTGGCCACTCTGAGTACAACGCGTACCTCTCTTGGACATCCTGCTCCCGTGTAGCACCAAGCAAGGCTTCACCTTGCACAGAAGGCCAGTGCAACGGCTTCCCGCCTGTAATCCCAGCACTCTGGGAAGCCAAGGCAGGAGGATCGCTGGAGCCCAGGAACTCATTCCAGCCTGAGCAACATAGCATGATCTGATCGCTACAAAATTCAAAAACTCAGCCAGGCATGGTGGCGTACGCCTGTAGTCCCAGTTGCTGGGGAAGCTGAGGCAGGAGGATCGCCTGAGCCCAGAAGGCAGAAGCTGTCGTAAGCTGTGACCGTATCACTGCCCTCCAGCCCATATCACTGCCCTCCAGAGTGAGACCCTGAATCACAAATTTAAAAAGAAAACAAAAGTATGCCCCAAGAAGGCAGTGGTCCTTGGGCAAAGATCTCCATGAGGGGCTGGCCAACATCTAATGACTGCAAGCCCCCATATGAAGCTCCACAATTTCCGTCAACGAGCTCCCTGGTCACGCTTAGAGAACGGGCGCACAGACACATGGGAGCGAGTGCTGGCTGTCCAGTTAGAAATCAGCCCGGGCATGAGCCTGCAAGGAAACCTACCTTTATAGACGTTCAAAGTTATGGTTCTTACAGCAATTCTAACCATGCTTTCAGGGTGATTAAAAAATTTGATGGCTTCTGTGTACAGGGCAAAGTCATTGGTGTGCTAAAACAAAAGAAGTCACAAAGACAAGTTACAGACCCGCAAGCCAGGTCTGCCCCCACCCAAGCTTTCTGAATCTCCTCAGAGTCTTCACAAAAGACAAAAACTGATGCTAATGTGAGCCTTAATTCAGTGGTTCATTCCTGGGGGTGTGGTAAGAGACAGGAGGCACAGCAGAGAAGACACAGAAGAGTCGAGGCAGCACAAGTCCTGGGTTCACTGCCTGCTCTACTGCTTCTAAATTATGCGATGCAGTATTTCTAAGCCTCTGTTTCTTCATCTATAAAGTGGGAATAATAACATCCACTTCCTGGTTGCTAGGATGAAGTGAGATCATTTCTGGTCCCATGCTTGCCCCAGCACCTGATACCTAATAAGCACTCGATTTGACTCAATTCTGACCAAGGAGATGTGAGGGGAAGTGGGAGGCTTCTGGGAAAGGTTTCTGGAAGTTAAAAAGGGACACAAGAAGGGAAGTGAGCTCACTGGGCATTTTGGCAGTGGTAAGTGAGCACGTGATGTCTGGAGCAGCTGCAGCCATTGTGTGACCATGAGGGGTTGAGCCTGAGGACAGTGCCAACTGTAGTCAGCAGAGCAGGAAGATGAAGAAGCCTGGGTCCTTCCTGATGTGGCTGAGCCCAGGATGAAGCAGCCCAGGCAGAGCCAGCATCTGTGCATTCTGATATATGAGATAAACTGACCTGATCACTCAAGATCCTTTAAGCTGTGAGAGCAGCAGCAATTCATTTAAGTTGTCAATAATTCTCCCCAAGAATGCCAGGGACATAGGCTTATAGCGAACAGCAATGCCTAGGAGTTTTGGGAGCCAGCAATAAGACATCACCTCATTTCATCCTGTCCCTAAAAACCCTGTATATATTCTCATTCCCATTTCTCAGACAAGGAAACTGAGGCTCAGAAAGGGACTGAGACTTCCCTAAGGTCACACAGCTGGGAAGTGGCAAAGCCAGGTCTGATTAAGTTCCTGTTTTTTCCAAAGAGCAACACTACCCCAAGACAACTTCTGGGCGCTTCTCTCTGCCAAGTACAATGCTCTCAGCACAAACTGAATTTTATGTTCAAAACAGAAAGGTAACTTGTTTAACAATAACAGAAAAAATTGCTTAAGCATGGCAAAGCCCAACAGCATTGCTTAAGAACCATGAGAGAGAACACCAAGTCTCTGTACATGACGTGGGACCACCTGGCTCCAAGGCGCTGCCCACGCTGCCTGAGCTCTGTTCCCACATGTGTCCCTCTGGCTACCACTCACCTCATTGTAGAAGAAGTGGACAGTGTGGTTGTTGAGCTTTAACGAAAGTGTCTTCAGGAACGATATATAATATGCCATAATCTCCTCGTCGGAAAAGTCAAACTTATGAACAATGATAGAATTAACGTAGTTATTAGATAACAAATAATCTAGGAGAAAAAACAAAGCAAAACAGACAGGTTAGCACAGGCTGCAGGGAAGACCATAAAGGATGCCAGGTAGCCAGCAGATGACCACGTTAATGGACTCGACTCCATTGGGTTCCGGGGACCTACCAGGAGCAACTTCCCCTTCAACCATGCAGAGGCACCAGCAAGTTCAAAGGCACTGCCAGAGGAAAGCCCTTCCCGCCCTCCCACACCAAATGGGAAAAGATACTCAAATGGCAAGTTCAACCAAGAGGTGGGGAGACCAGTTGGTGTGTGGGCATTTTCAGAAGCCAACTGTGGATCAGGGCAGAAAGCACCGGATTTCATAAAAAGCTGACCCATTCTGCCATCACAAATTCTGTCATCATGCCTGAATGCCACAGAGAGCTACAGGGGTTTTTTTCCTCCTTATACAGCAATACGATTTCATGAAGGTCACCTGATGCTGAATCCCTACTATAAGCGTGGCACTGGGCTGAGCGCTTTACATTATCATTAAGCATCACAGCCATACTGCAGACTTGGGCTCATTCTTCCCATTTTGCAGATGAGCAGAAACAGCTCAGAGAGGTTGATTAACTTGCCTGAGGACACAGAGTTGGCAAGTCACAGAGAAGGGATCAAATTTAGGTCTCATGTCAGAGCCTGTGCTCGTCATGCACTAATGGGGACCGACAACGGAAATGGGGTGATGAGGGCCCCGGGGCACTGGGACCCCCTGGAAAGCAGCCCCAGCTCCTGGGCCAGTGGAAATGCCACCCAGCATGGTGAGCTTCCACCTGTGGCCAGCTTTCAAGAGGAGCTGATGCAGCGGCGAGCATCAAATGGAGACCACAGATGCTCACATGGGCCCTCCTGACTGTGAACTGCTCGCCGCTGCATCAGCTCCTCTTGAAAGCTGGCCACAGGCCCAAAGCCAACGCAGGCCTGCAGGCGGAGGTCCCGGCCTTGGGCCCTCGCTGGACACGTGCCCCTCTGAGATCTTACCAGCTATCCTGCAAGGCAGGCACTGCCATCCACTGTCTGTCCTTGGGTGACTGGCATGTGAGCACTGCCCCAGCACACCTGCCCACACAGGTGGCGAAAGGCAGAGCAGGACCCATGATCACGCCTGCACTCCAGGTGAGGCTGAGGGGCATGGTACCCTGTTCCTCCAAGGCTCAGAACTCCCTGGAGCTCAGCAGGCCATGGCTCTTGGGCGCAGCCCTGACCCGAGGGGTGGGCCCGACTCAGCACGTCCCACACGTGTCGGCAGGTGCTCATGTCTGGCAGGCACTGGTTCCGACGTGGACCCGCCTGCCTGGGTCCAGATCTCACCTCTGCCATTTCCCAGTTGTGTGCCCTCAGGCAAGCTGCTGACACCTCCTCCCCAGTTTCCTCCCCTGGAGAACAGAACTGCAGAACCTTCCTCACAGGGCAGTGGTTAAAGGGGGTGATGCTGATGCACAAAAGCCACTCAGGATGGAGGGGCACAAGATCAGTGCTCTAGGACATCAATTGCCAAGATTCTCCTTACTGCCTTTCTTAGAGACTCAAAATCTCAGCTACCACATCACACATGGATGAGTAGAAAATAAGCCATGAGGTTACTTGTGCCAATGAGATACCTAACTTAGGTCAATCAGAATCTTATTGCGATGCCTGTTTGCAATCACCAAAAACAGCACAAAAAGCTATCCTGGAGCTCAGGGTCGTGACAGAAGCCATCATGTGGGCCCATAGTAGGTCCTCAGAAGCTGGTTCTCTGGGAAAGCCACTGTATTCAGAAAAGTCACTATGCCTTCTCTGAGCGGGCACGGCAGACAGGATGTACAGTGCGGAGTCTTAGAAGAATAGTTGGGCTAGGCGTGGTGGCTCAAGCCTATAATCCCAGCATTTTGAGAGGCCAAAGCGAGAGGATTACCTAAGCCCATGGTTTCGAGACCAGCCTGGGCAACATGGTAAGACCTTGTCTTTACAATAAATCAAAAAATTTAGCTGGGCATGGTAGCATGCACCTATAGTTCCAGCTACTTGGAAGGCTGAGGTGGAAAGATCGCCGGTACCCAGCAGGTCAAGGCAGCGGTGGCCATGAGCATGCCACTGCACTCCAACATGAGCAACAGACTGAGACTCTAACTAAAAAAAAAGAAAAAAGAAGAAGAAGAATGGTTGGTAGGATGCGGTAGACCACACCTGTAATCCTAGCACTTTGGGAGGCCGAGATGGGAGGACAGCTTGAGCCCAGGAGCTTGAGACGAGCCTGGGCAACAAAGCTAGAACCTGTCTCTACAAAAAGTAAAAAAAAAATTAGCTGGGTGTGGTGCTGTGCGCTTGTAGCTCTAGTTACTAGGGAGGCTGAGATGGAAGGCTCACCTGAGCCCAGGAGGCTGAGGCTGTGGTGAACTGTGACCATGCCACTGCACTCCAGCCTGGGCAACAGAGTGAGACCCCAACTCAGAAAACAAACAAACAGACAAAATCTCCTGGTTGCAACAATTCCTGAGGCAGCTCCAAAGGCCCATTCCAAGTAATGAGCGAGAGGTCTGGGGTAGGGTCCAAAGAATCTTAATGTTTTCTAAAATGAGTTACATATATCATAAATCCTGAGTATATAGCTTGATATGTAGAAATTCACCCACATATGTACCTCAAGTATATGCACGTCTTTTAAATACATACGTATGAGCTATTTACATACATATATATGAGCTTCTGATACAGTGACACTCTGACTCAAAAAAAATACTGTGTCATATATTTGAAATTTGCTAGGATAGAGCCTATGTATTTTCACCCCTTCCCCCACACACATGGTAGCTATGAGGTGATGGACGTGCTAACTAGCTTGATTGTGGTGATTACCTCACAACGCATATGTCTATCAAGCCCTGGGGTCTAGCTTGGTGAATTTTTCACACGCATGCACCGCATCAGCACCACCCAGCTCAGACATGGGACGTGAGCAGCTCTCCATAGGCTCCCTCACACCCCTGCCTGCCAGCACCCCCTCCCCAGAGGCAGCCACTCCACTGACTACCACCCCTCGTTCTGCCCGTGAGCCCCACTGGACAGAGTAGGACCACGCGCTCGCTGCTGCCCGGCCTCCTGCTCGCCACCACGGTGGAGAGTCATCCACACTGCAGTGTGCGCCACAGTGGCAGCTCGGTCCGCTTTCCTTTCCCTTTCTCTCCCCCTTTTTCTAATCTTGCTATCTGATATTCCATTCTTTGAATAGTCCAATTTCCTTAGTCCCCTAGAATCCAAAGGGTCACAAGCAGCGCAGGTGACTCTGACACCTGGAGCACGTCTTTTTCACTCTGCATCATTCTGGCTCTGATGAGGAAGGGAAATGGGCTGACAAGAGAAGGGGCTGCTGGGATGTCTGGGTGACCCTACTGGGACGGGTGAGTGGTTTCTGGGCCACCATCAGCACAGACGCTCTGCTGGAAGCTTCAGACATGCATCTGTGAGTGCTCAGCTCCACACAGAGCACAGCAGTGTGGGCTCCATCCCCCAGGAGGGACTTTTCCAGGGCCTCCAGGAGACGCCGCTGTGGGCGGTGGGGGAGCACCACAGGGCAGTGGAGGTGCCTCTCTTATTGGGCTGGGTTTTTTCTGCTACTCCTTCACCATGCGGCTGACTTTCTGTGGCATACTTTTCTAATAAACCTGGGAGTCTGTAAGTCATCTCAGTCTCTCGGGACTCTGTCACTTAGGTCACCAACCCACCAGGCAACAGGTGCATTTGTGAAATGGCTGCTTGTAAGAGTGAAAAACTGGAAACCACCCAAATGCCCTCAGTCAGGTTATATAGATTACGGCCCAGCAGGCCACAACTCTAGAGCCCAACCACACAGGCTTCGCGAAAGGCCCAAGAGATGGTCTGAGGGCACAGCAGGGTGGGAAAGTGAAGCCTGCAATAGAATAGTCTGCACACCAGCGACTGGCAGGGTGAGGCTCCTTCTCTACTTTCCTAGCGGTTGCCTTTCGTTGGTGTTTGACAGTGAGGACGCTTTTGTCTGTGACAAGAAAATGAAAATAAACACAAAGGTCATCTACCCTCCCCACCCCCTGCACACCCAAGTTCTGTAAATGAGCACTGACCTCCGCCCTTTCTGCAGGGTCTACGAGAGTGCTCGGGTGACCTGTCATGAAAGCAAGGGGAGTCTGCCCAGTCCTCATAGTAGGGCATCCCGCTTGGTCCCAGTACCAAAAGAGTCATGCATATCGCATAGTCTCTAAAAGCGTCCAACTCATAGAAGCAGAGAGTCAAAAGGTGCTTCACGGGGGGAGGGGAAGGGAGATGCTAGTCAAAGGGTGCACAGCTTCTGTTATGCAACACAAATCATTCTGGGGCTCCAATGTACAACACAGTGACCACAGTTAATAACAGATCAGGTGTGATGGCTCATGCCTGTAATTCCAGCACTTTGGGAGGCTGAGGCAGGAGGCTTGCTTAAGCCCAGGAGTTCGAGACCAGCCTGGGCAATATAGTGAGACCTCATCTCTACAGAAAAATTTAAAAATAGCCAGGTGTGGGAATGCATGCCTGTAGTCCCAGTTACTCGGGAGGCTTAAGCAGGAGGATGGCCTGAGACCAGGAGGTCAAGACTGCACTGAACCATGACCGTGCCACTGCATGTCAGCAATGGGCGACAAAGCAGACTTTGACTCAAAAAAAGAAAAAAAAGCCGGGCTCGGTGGCTCAGCCTGTAATCCCGTGCCTTTGGGAGGCTGAGCCCGCGGGTTCGAGACCCGCCTGGGTAGCGAGACCTCATCTCTACAGTAAATCAAAAAATCAGCCGGGCATGGTAGCGCATGCCTTTAATTCCGGCTACTCGGAAGGCTGAGGCAGAAGGATCACTGGAGCCCAGCAGGCAAGGCTGCAGTGGCCGGGAGCGTCCACTGCACTCCAGTCTGGGTGACAGAGTGAGACTCCAACTCAAAAAAACAAAACAAAACAAAAAAAGAAAAAAAACCCCACTGTACTATATAGTTGAAATTTTTGCTAGGAGGATAGAGCCTAGGTGTTTTCATCTCACACACACATACACACACGGCAACTGTAAGGTAAAGGGTATGTTAATCAGCTTGTTGATTGTGGTGATTATTTCACAACATATCTGTATATCAGATCATCAAGTTGTATTCCTTAAATATATACAACAGAAAAAGAAAAGCCGTGAGAGTCCAAGAAACCCCTGAGAGCCAGCACTTGTGACTGCCCACTGCCAGCTTCGGTACAGCCAGCCTGTGCCTGGCTGGGCTGCTGGGAGGGGAACCTGGTTAAATTGGTGAAGCCAGCACCACAACACTCCCACCCGCCAGGCCTGGGAGACCGCACAGTCACCCTCATGCTGACTGCTCGGCCACTCAGTCCCCAGCTCCTGCCACGTCCTGACGGACAGACACACAGTACAGCCTGGAGCATGACCACCGGCACATGTGGGACAGAGCCAGCCCAGGCCCTGCTTCCGTCTGAGTCCAGGGCCTGAGCTGCTGAACTGGATCTTCCCCTCAGAGTCTTCCCAAACCACACTTGTACGCATCCCACAAAACAGGAGCTGGTAACAAGGGAAACCCCTGAGGGAGACTGGATCAACCCACACTTGTCAACCTGCAGTCCCTGGTAAGTGTAAGGCAGCTCCAAGGCAGCAGCGCCACCTGGTGGCCACCCTTTCTCTCCCGCTTCTAAGGAGACATGCTACCATCCCATCTCCCTCTACCCATGGAGCACTTTTTCAAACCTGTCCTGGGGACCTAAGCCTGAGCCTGACAGAGACATTCGGCCACTCACCTTCCCTCCCCCACTCCTTGCAGGCATGGCCAGGGCTTGGTGTAGTCATCTTGGAATAGTCAGCTAGCGGTGAAGTTGGAGATTAGACACCAAACCAGGTGTCAAACCAGCACTGGTGACATCTGGAGCTGGCTCATTCCTTGCTGCGGGGCCTGTCCTGTCACTACAGAATGTCTGCTGCACCCTCGGCCTCCACCCTCAAGATGCCAGTAGCAGCCCCAAGAATGTGTCCAGATATTGCCAAATGTCCCCTGGGGCAGGGGCACAGTACCCCCTCAGCGGAGGACCACTGAGCTAATGCATGGGGATGAAACCTTCTCTACTGTCCCCTTGGGCCAATGACTCTAACTGTCTCGCCGTTACAAATGAGGGGGCCAGCAGCACCTGCCCCTCTGGAGTGGTTGGTACAGACAAAGAAACTGGGGCTTGGCAGGGCGGGTCAGAAGCTCAGAGTCGCATACACACCAGGCGGGCAGCAGACTGAGCAGGAAAGCGAGGCACTGAAGCCTCACTGATCTGGCTCTTCCTCACTCTGCTTCTTCCAATGCTTTTCCATCTGCTGATTACTGAAGAAATGCAAGCCTCCCCAGAACCATCCAGCAGAGGGGAACTCTCTCCTGGTCCTCTGCAGAATCCCACCACATGGGAATAAACACAGTGTCACGGACTGAATTGTGACCCCCCTAATTCCTATGCTGATGCCCTGATCCCCACTGTGACTGTATTTGGAGACAGAACCTTGAGGGAGGCCATTAAGGTTGAGGTCACAAGGGTGAAGGCCCTCATTGCTAGGACTGGTGTCCCCATTAGGAGAGGGAAAGACAGCAGATAGCTGTCTCTCTCATTCACGCACAGAGGAAAGGGCACACACAAGCAAGAGGGTGGCTGTCTGCAAGCCAGGAAGAGAGCCCTCACCAGAAACCAACACTGATGACAGCTTGACCTTGGACTTCTATCCTCCAGAACCATGATAAAACTAACTTCTGTTGTTTAAGTCACCCAGTCAGTGGTATGTTGTTAGTGCAGACCAACACACACAATAAGCACAGATATATGAAAACAACGCCAAACTCCACCCTGTTGACACCCAGCAGCACAAAGGTAAATATCAAGGAATGTCCTTACAAAGTGAGGTCTCGTGACTGATATTCTCAAAGAGGATGTTCAAGGTCTGCAGAAGCTGAACGCACACATAGCGGCCTGATTTCTGACGCAAGATGTTCAAGAAGAAAACAAACATGTTCTTCTCCAGGAAGAAGCTGGGGAGAGAACGGGAGAGAGTTAGTGGTTTGTTTCCACATATGGAAATTAAAATCATTGCCTGGTTACATTCACAGTACATGTGTGTAGACCCACCCTCACAAAGGCATCACAGAGATGCCAAATCATGCCACCCATGGCCTTGGCTTCCATACCACACAGTTCCCATGATGCTGTCTTTCACCTCTCTTCCCAGAACATGAAGGCAGTGTGGATTCAAGGAAGCAGTGATTGGATTTCTGACAGAATGGGCAAGCTCTCCACCTACTAAATGTCCGCATGGTAATCTACACTTGTAAATTCAGTAAGCAGCATTTTCCACCAAATACATATATTTTCTTTCCTGAGTTTTCCATACTAAGCCTCTTTCCTTTGCTCCCCATACCTTTGCTCGGTGCTGCGTCATTTGAGTTTAACACTCAAACAAGAAAACAACACTTGAAACTCCCTGCAAAGGGATAAGATAGCACTGAATAGTAAAAGAGTTTTGGTCCCCAAATTTTCCATACCTAGGGGAAAGGTACTAGAAAGAAATGTGCAGGCACTGATGTGCTGGAGAAACCCTAGCCCGTCTAACCTGTCCCCAAGTCGGCATCTGCCTTTCTCAGAGGCTATTGTGGGTACACGTGGCTCTTCTGGAAACAGGACCCCCGATGTCCTTCTCTAAAGGGAGAAAATGGTGTCTCCAGGTATGTGTTCTCTGTACTCAGAAGCTAAGACCAGATAATCTCTCATTTGGGATACCTAGAAGAAGTCCCTGCAGTCACTGCACCTGCTGGCTGGCTTAGTGTAGGGTGCCTTTCCCCTTGACTGGCAGCTCCAATGGTGGGGTCATGGGCCTGGAACTTGTCAGGGCTGCATTATTCTGTGTGAATCCATGAAGGGCAAATGAATGAACACATACTGACCTCAAAAGACCCCTAAAATCTGTGTCAACTCTGATTCTGAGAGGCCGCCTGCCTGTTCCTGCCATTCATGTTGACCTCCAAAGTACTTCTGTCAGTTGACCTATTTTGTCCACCTTCACTTCAGGTTGCATACATCAGTGACTCCCAGCAAACTCACTGCTGCACTGTGACCACCTCAGGAACCACCTTGGGAACTTGTGAAAGCATCTGCACCTCTGTACCTAGATTGCACCCCAGGGTTCACTCAGTAGGTCTGTGTGAAATCCATGAGCCTAGATTTTTTTTTTTTTTTTTTTTTGAGTTGGAGTCTCACTCCATCGCCCAGGCTGGAGTACAGTAGAACGCACACTCACGGCCACCCCAGTGGCGACCTTCTGGGCTCTGGAGATCCTTCCACCTCAGCCTTCCAAGTAGCTGGAACAATAGTTGCGCGTTACCATGCCCAGCTAATTTTTTATTCATTGTAGAGATAAGGTCTCACCAAGTTGCCAGACTGGTTTCAAACCCACGGGCTCAGGCAATCCACTCGCCTCGGTCTCCCAAAGTGCTGGGATTACAGGCTGAGCCACTGAGCCCAGGCAAGCCCAGATTTTTTAAATGCCCTCGGGGAGTGGGCAACTCCTTGGAAAATGCTGATTCTAAGGCTGCGGTAGGGAAAACACAAGATGAGTACCAGGAAGGAAGGAGATGCTAAAAAACAAGAAAGGACAGAAGCAGGTCAAAGGCACAAGCAGCCAACTGAAAGCACTCCCAACAGCCAAGGCCAAGATGATATGAGAAACAAAATAAATGACCTAGTACTAGATTATAACCCAAGGTGTAAGATAAATACCCACGAGTGCACACTGATATAAACAAATGACCGCATATATAAAGGGAAGGAGAGACACTCTTCCAAGCAGAATTTCAAATAATATACGTAGACACTCCTTTCTTCTAGGAGGCAGAACTTAATTCCCACCCCTCATCTTGAAAGAGTGGGCTGGACTTAGTGACCCCCTTCTAAAGAACAGCATAGGAAGGCGCAGAGTAATTACAGGTGAGAAAACTGTCAGACACCACCCCAGTCAGGGAAGGAAGGTTGACAGCACCAGGGGCCATGAGGGTTATGGCCTAAGGGGAACTTCACCTCTACAGCACTCTCCCCCACTACCCCAAGCTTAAGCACAAGAAAAACATCAGTCAAACCCAGATTTGGGGGCACTCCACAGAAGACCTAGTCAGTTTCTCAAAACTGCCACGGTCATAAGAGCAAGGGAAGACAAAGAAACCGTCACAGACCAGACAAGACTGGGGAGACGTGACGACTAAACACACTGTGGGAGCTTGGATGGCATCGGGGGCAGAAAGAGAACATTAATGAAAAAACAGGCAAAAAGTCCAAATCAAGGCTGGAGTTCACTTAACAATGTACCAGCATCAGTTTCTCAGTTTTGACAAATGCACACTCATGAAGTAAGACACAGGGAACAAGGGGAGAAACCAGATGACAGGCATATGGGAACTTTCTGTACTATCTTTGCAACTTTTCTGTAAATATAAAATTACTACAAAATTTTAAAATGTATTAAAAACAAAATGCTCTTGGGAACTCTGTTGGGCAGCTGTTTAAGAATCACAGGGACCCCAAGAGCTCAGCAGTTTTTCTAAGATGGCAGATGGACTAAGAAAATCCATTCCAGTCAAGAGGACATTGTTTCTCATCTTTTGTTTTTATTTCAGAGTTATGGAGTCCATGCAAGGATTTGCTATACTAGTAAACTGCACGCAGGTGAGGTGTGGGCTTCCAGCAATACCCCTGGCAGTGGACTGGGTACCCAATGGGTGGCTGTGTGCCCCTTGCTCCTTCCCTCGCTTCCCCCCAATTTCTGATATTTAGCCCAAGGATCTTTCTCATTTCCAAAAATAAATAAAAACAAACAAGCAAATTCCCCAAGGAACCTTAAAGGAATCTAGTTCTATTTGTAAGCAACACCTTTATTACATGTTTTCCTTTGGGAATTATAGCCAGCATTCACAGGTTTGCATTTGAAGGAGTTTGTATTTTCCAGCAGTAGCTTTATTAGATAATCCTTCCATGAAAATACAGAGCTAGCCTGAAAAATCAATTAAAGATATCTAATAAACCAGGTTGGAAACAGAACACCTTTACTTTTTAAAACAGGTTTTTTAAGTGGCCTCAATGTTTATCACGGAAATTAACCATATGCACGTGACTGTGTGCTTGGTGGTCGCCACAACCCAGTTACAAATCCTTCCGCACTAAGACTGTTGCTTTTCAACTGTCCGGGAGGCATACCTGTTTTGCCACTTGCTCTCATTGACTGGCACCTCCTCTGTACCAGGCACTGGACAGGGAACTTTTCCCTCTCCTTTAAAGGCGAAGAAACTGAGGCTCAGGGAGATAATGAGCCTGGCCTAGGACAGCTCACCCACCCAGGAGGAGGAGAATGGGAGGAGGCCCTCTCGGGTCAGGGTGTGGGCCGCTGCCTCACCACCTACCAGCCGTGTGACCCTAAGCAAAAATGGCAACACCACCAGGGCCTGCACCCTGGAGCAGGCAGGAGACTGAGCTGGACTGCCTCATCAGGAGCTCAGAACTGTGCCTGGCCATCAGCAAACATGGCAGCTGGGAGCCCTCGGTGACTCTCCCCCAGCAGGGTCATAGAATCTGACCACCCTGGACAGATACCTAACAAGACACCATTTGGAGGAAAATTCTCTATGAATTCAGGTTTTCTAGAGACACTCATTCCCATAACTTCCTGTTTTCGGCATTTCCCCAGTGCTTCAAGGGCACTTTTTATAGATAGATAGACATAAAGATAGATATCTGGGCAAGACCAAATGGGCGTCAAATCCTGACATCATCAGGAATGACTCATAACATACGTTCAGAAAAACACTCAAATAAAGGAGAATCGAAAAACAAAGATCCCAGGAAGTCCTTACTCAAATACGGAGCTATCATTCTGATCACCCCAGATCAGGATCTCAGTGATGGAGCGGATGGTCTCTACCAGCAGGTTCCGGTTCTGTTCTGTGACTGTGGTGTTTTTGGTCAAAACATGATACAGATACCTGAGAGAAAAGAAAATTCAATGTTACCAACTGAAACGAAAGCCAAGTTCAATGATCATTAGCAACATTTGGGGGACAAGAAATGCTGTCACAAATTGGTTAGCACCATTTCCCCTTCAGATGAGACATAACTGACCACCCAAGAAAAATGGCAAATGATGCTTTGAAATGTTAAGTAACCAGACACCAGCCCAAACTAAGACGAGAGAATCATCAAAGCCTTGAAGACAGCTTCTCAAGCTTCAGTGTGCAGGAGTCTCTTGGGGAACTAGACCAAGCAGGGGCCCCAGAGATTCCGATCAGCAGGTGTAAGGAAAGAGCAGGCATCAGCCCCCCCCCCACATACTCCCTGGTGACTGACACCAGCGGCACAAGTGGAGACAAACAGTCAGGCCGAGTGCCTAACACAGGACCGCAGTCAGGCGACGCTGAGTCTCAGAGATGGAGTCACAGTACACACTGTCAAGACCCCCCTTGGGACGGCTATAGCCCCCCAAAGTGCAGTCCGCCCACCAGAATTCATGGTGCAAATGGCGTGGGTGGTGTGCAGTCCAAGAGCAACAGTCTTGTTTGCTGAGAACAGATTGCTAAATTCAGAGTTAATTGGGCTGGGGAGGCTGTGGTTCCGTGCTTCATCCATCCAAACAGTCACCGGGCCAGACACAGCCCAGTCCAGAATCACCAAGGCCAGGCCCGAGCAGGGTGGGGAAGCAGCCTGGCCGGATGTCCTGTGAGTGCCACCTGGCATAGCTTTGAAGATGGCTTCTTCAGGGCCCACAGATCCAGATAACTTCACCTGTCGAGGGAGCCATAGCCTTGGGAAGGAGAAGCAAACACAGAGGAAGTGACTCAGAAAAAGTCACCTCCCGATTTCTTTTAGGCCATCTTCAGTTTGGGAGTTGGGGGCTGGTGAGAGCAAGGCAAGGAAAGGCTAATAGGACCGCCCTAGCCACACTCTCTGCACAGGGGTAAAGAGCAGAGCCTTGAGGATGAAACAGTTAGGCAGCCTGTGCCTAAGGGGCTGGGGCTTAGTTATTAACGGTGTCACTGTTGGTTATATTTTAAAGGTATAGTGTGCTCAAGCATTCATTCATTCATTCATTCATTCGAAACCACATCGATTTTAACTCGAGCAGCCCTCCCAAAATGTAACTCCTCCACCATGTGTGTGTGCCCAAATCTTCCAACAGGGCTGCCTTTAAGGGCATGAGGCCAGCTCCCCCTGGGATAAGGTGACTCCGCAGCACCTGAATCACCCCAGGATGGGCCGCGGGGAGACCCACTCAAACGTCCGTATGTCCTCATCTTGCCTCAAGGGCATCTTCCCCTCGAGACTCAAGAGCAGAGTTTTCCAAACTGTGGGTCGCAGCCTCCTGCATTGGAATCACCTGAGTTGCTCCCTGCCCCGCACCCCTGAACTCTCAGGTACAGGGCCCCAATTCCACAGAAGCTGGACAGCCACTGCACCACTCCAGCTGTAGCTCTCAGTGACACTCTCCATGCAGTCCCGTGTGTCTGACACCCTGCCAGTGACAAGGCATGGTTGGCGGTGTGGGGGAGGGGCAGATTCTTGCTAGCACTGGGATTTTCTTCTGAGTGGAGGATGACACCCTTTTGCATCATACATCACACTGCTGGCCTGATGGGAAGCAGTGGCCTGAGTGAGTGGGCCTGCACAGACAACCCCCAACAGGGAAGGAGAGCTGAAATCTCTAGGGCCAGGTCTGGCTTCAGTTGTCTGAAAGCCCTCATGGTTCTCACCAACCAGTAAACTCATATTCATTCAAAACCCAGTTCAGGAATCTCCTAGTAAAGCCTTCCTAAAAGAAGGCCCTTCCTGCCCCTCCCAGGCGGATTCGATCATTCCCTCCTCACTGGTACCTCATACATTCTCTGAACTGGCATACATTCGCTGCTGCATAGACCACTCTGACTTGCAATGATCTGCCTCCTTTATTAGACCTGAGTTCCTCAAGGTCAGCAACATCATCTTATTGATCTTGGTGCCCCCAGTATACTCCAAATGTACGATATTCAACAAGTACTCCATAAATGCTTCATGAACGTAAGTTAGATTAGAGGATATGAGTCTGAACACAGCCAGGGGGCCAAACACCAGACACAGCAAGTGACAGCACAGGGCTGTGGTGAAGAGTGCAGGCAGACTTGGGCTGGATCCCAGGCCCTGCCCCTTCCTAACCGTGGCCTTGGACAGGCACCTCATCTCTCTGCAGCTCAGACCAGACAAAATGGTGCGAACAGTCAAAGGCCTCCTCACGGGGCTGTTCCTAAGTCAATGTGATCACACACAGAAGGAGCCCAGCGTGGCACCTGGCATGCAGTGGGCACTCACCAGAAGCAGGTCAGCCACTCTCCCTACGAGCCTGGGCCATGACGACGGGGCCTTATTGCTATCTCTCCTACAGTAGACAGAATATTCCAAGAACAGGAGAAAGGAACCAGGCTGGAGCCAAAGAGCTGGGGAAAAAAGACCTCGGGAGAGGAGGAGTGGCAGGGGGTCCAAAGGAGTCAGCATGGGAAGAGGGAGTCTGGGTCACTCCTGAGAGGCACTGGTGCTAGAATGCCTGGCTCTCAGCACATGCCCATCACTTATGAGCTGGGGCATCTTGAGCGGGACTTCACATCTGTGTACCTCAGTTATCACATCTGTGCACCTCAGGGGAGCAGCAATACTACCTCAATACTTTAGTACCTACCTGCTATGCTGCTGTTGGGAGGAATGAGTTGCTTTCTGTACAATACAAGTGCTATCTACCTGCTTTGTCTAAAGGAGCTCGGGGCAGGGGGAGCTAAGAACTACTAGAAAGCCCTTACAGACAGAGAAAGGGCAGGGTTGCAAGTGCTGAGGAGTCTAGGAGCTCCCATGTGCAAGGAACCCTCTGACGCACAGTAACCTGGGGACCTGCACAGTGTTACCACTGCAGGAAACGACAGCAACCGAGGCGTGGGGACGTTCAGCGGCTCACCCACAGCCCTGTAGCCAGTTGAGAGATCCATTTGCTCCTGAGCAGTCCAGCGCATTTGCTCCTGAGCAGCCCAGCGCTCGGTGATTTTGTCAGTAGGGCCACCTGCTGGGTATATGGTGGCACTGCATTTGGGTTTTCGTTTTTTTGCGAGTCAAGGGTCTCGCTCTGTCACCCAGGCTGAGCGCAGAAGCACGATCACAGCTCTCCACAACCTAAAACTTCTGGGCACAAGCAATCCTCCCACCTCAGCCTCCAAAGTAGCTGGGACTACAGGCATACATCAACATGTCCTGCTAATTTTTGGATATTTTGGAGAGACAAGATCTCACTATGCTACTCAGGTCGGTCTCAAACTCCCGGGCTCAAGTGATCCTCCCACCTCAGTCTCCCATAGTACTGAGATTACAGGCAGGAGTCACTGCACCTAACCTGCAGCGCAGTCTTACTGCATGATGCCTGATGAAGCTGGGTACCTTTTCATCTATGTTCATGGATCACCTTCTTTTGTGAGGTGCCTCTGCAAGTCTTTTCCCATTTTTTACTAGGTTGAGTAGCTTTTTCTTATTTATTTGATGGAGTTATTTACATAGGCTGACCACAAATTCTTCACTGGGGATACATATTGCAAATATTCTATCTGACTGTGCCTTACCTTTTCACTCTCTTTATACTGAGTTTTTGATGAGCATAGGTTCTTAATTTTAGGCCCAATTATCAACCTTTTCTTTGGATAGTGTTTTTTGTATCAAACTTGAGATTCTTACTTACCTCTAAGATCATGAAGAAATGCTGTTCTCTTCCAACAAAGTTATGTTCTACCCTCACATTTTAACTTGGAGTACATGCGGGACCTTTTGTGAACAGTATGGGGCATTGGCCCAAATGAATTGTTTCTATGTGGAAATCTAGTTGACCCAGCACCGTTTTTCCAGAAAGGCCCTCATTTCCCTACTGCATTCCAGTGTCACCCTTGTCAGTGAATCAGTGACTCCACATGTGGGTCTCTTTCTGGATGCTCTAGTTCCATCGATCTATTTGTCAATCCTTGTGCCACCACCATGCTGCCTGATTAATGAGCTTTATAATAAATCTTGCCATGTGGTAATGTAAGTCCTCCAATTCCTTTCCTTCTGTTTCTCAATATCATATTGGCTATTATCGGCCCTTCTAATCTCCATATAACGCTTTAAAATCACCTTCTCAATTTCCACAAAAATACCGGCTAAAACTTCCTTAGAAACTGTCCTAAATCTAAAGCTAAATTTGGAAAGAATGGACAACTTTACAGTAGTGTAACACTGGATAGTTACAGCATTTCTTCCTGCGCTTGCTGGATAGAGTCTCGCATACCTTTTGTTAGATTTAGTCCTGGGTAGTTGATATTTTTAATGCTATGATAAATGGTGTTGTTTGAAAGATTCATTTTCTAAATGTCTATTGTTGATAGATAGAAATACTGCCTCAGTGTCAAGCTCTAAAGCTCTAGGGTGGTGACTCCAGCACCCTGCTTGCCTCATGGCCCACAAGGCCGGAGCACGCTGTTTTACATAATGTTTCAGGAAGGGCTCCTCAATATACATTTGCTTGGGAAAAAACTGCATGGATTAAGATTTAATATTTTGATGCTGCATCTAATTCCAGAGCTTTGAAACATCAAGTAACTCAGCCTCAGAGATATAAACATTTTAATCGCTTTCTGATGGTAACTGTGACATTCATTTAGAGAGGCTGGAAACTGACAAGAGAGGAATGGCAGCTGTGGGTGTGCCCCGTCCAAGAGGCCATCACACCACCTCCTTGAGTCTTTTTCTCTGCGATGGATACTAATATGGTTGAGCTCATGTGGCGTGTCCATTTCTATGCCCATCTTTTTTCCCACCTCAGCGGAAAAAAAAGTGTTTTTGCTAACAGCTGTCTGCAAATATCTAAAGTGGCAAGTCAGCCTCTGAAAGGACATGAGCCAAAGCTCCTTTTCCCAGGGGTAGTAAGATCCTAATTGTCTGGAGGATCAAC